TGCCCAAGTCAAAATCTTGATACCAAGTCTTGACTGCACACCTTCAATGAAACTTCTTGCAAGTTTTCTCACTCTGCCAACTGTGTTCCCCTGCAGAAATGAATGGTCTCCAAGATTTGAAGTAATCAATCTTGTAGTGAGTCCTAGACTGTGGCGAGCATTGATCAGCATCTTGAGGATTTGCCTTGTTGTGGGCCCATTGTCACTCTTATAGGTGATTGCTGAATACACCAACAACTGACTGAAATTCATCAATTCTTGCCAAATTCGGCGAAATGGGTTCTTGCTTCCTACTGGCGCAACATGAATGAACCCAGTCTGGCCGTCAATTGCAACCATACTGCTCTTGCTGACTTTGTTTCTGAATCTCTTGCTCTTGCGTAGCGCAAGTCAGAGCTTACCTCAGGCGACCTGCGCGCGCCCGACGCCCAACGCACTCCTCACACCATTTGGCACATGGCTTCAGGTCACCTGGCATCTTTGCCACACTTTGACCCAATGCCTCTCTTGTTTCTTGAGCCTTTGCTTCACTCACTAAGCTTTTCGCATTCAAGAGTTCTATTTTCTTGAGGATCTTTGTATAGACCTTTAGCTTAGAGCAAATGCCTGAAATGCCGAGAAATGAACATGAACATGCTGCCCTCAAAGTTGCTGAAGAGGAACCCTTAGCCAACTCTATTCTATTCCATTCACCAAGACTTTGTCTACATCCATTGGGCTCAATTGCAGTTCACATTCAAGGTCTTCATCTTTCCTTTCTTCTTTCTCGATTGCCGCCCCATGGGTTCATCATCTGAGATGTCAATCTCCTCAAAATCTTTATTATCACCATCATCATCACCATCATCACCTCCAATGTAGAAGTGAATCACTCGAATTTTATGAGCTTCTAGCCCTCTCTCGCAAGTCAAAGATGATTGGCTCACTTCACAATTCTCCTGACCGGCTTGGTCTCTGCTGAGCTACTCTGCTGGCTAACATTGTTAACCGTGTGAGTAGTCGCTTGCTGCCTGTCGAATATTGTTCCTCCAACCGTCTTTCGCAAGATGTCCTGGCTTTCGAGAAGTGTAACATGTTGCCACACCTTTACCTTTCTGGTCTTTACCTTTACCTGTGCCCTTGTGATCACCTTCTTCTCCTTTGTGATCTCCTTTTCCTTGGCATCTTTGCCTTTGCCCTTTTGATGGTCATTCTTGCCCTTCTTACCTTTTCCTTTGGCACCTTGGACTCGATCAATGTCCATTGGCATGGGCCCTTGATAGTCTGTACTGCTACTTGCCACCATGGAAGTAGCCCACTTCTGCTGAGAACGATTGCATTGCAACACTTGCTCCCTCAAAGTTGAGTGTTGAACATTGTCGCCAATTGTCAAGCCCAAGTATGGCTTTGAGTTGTCCACCTACGCATCTCAAAAGAATAGCAGATTTCAACTCTTCTTGAATTGTCGTCCCTTCCTTGGACGTCTCATCAAATATTTCTTAAAGGTTGAATAGTTTAGGTTGTAGTGCAAGGCCATGTAATGATCACAAGGGCAAAGGCAAAGATGGAGCTCAAAGGGGCTACCCTTATCCCTGCTCCGCTACCATGCGAACTTTAACCACAGGCGCGACGGGCTGCGAGTAGGTTAGCTTTACACAGTGATGCTAGTTATGCTTGGCATTTGCACTGTAGTCTGTCATGAAAATGCTTCACATGTTTCAAGGCATGCCAGAAAATTTGCCAGATTGAAATGGCATGGTGGCCGCATAAACAAAGCCAGGGGGCAAGGACTCAAGGAAAGAGAGAGAAAGGTCGACTGGGCGCCGAATTGGCAAATTCTTGTGCGCCCAAAAGCTGGTACCAGTCAAAGCTGGTGATGATATAGCCGGTATCGGCGCAACCTGGATTTACAAACAACCGAACAAGCCTCTAGATAGAACGAAAGGGAGAGAAGAGCAAGAGCAAAAAGAAGGAGTGAAAGTCATGTATGGCAACATCTGGAAAACTCGATGAAACTCCATGAGGTGCAGTGAAATTCAGCCAAATATTCTCCGCAAACTCGGCAGTATAGTTCGGATCTTTCAAGCGGCCAGGTTTGATCTGAAGCTGGCTCACGATGCAAACGCAGGGATCTGAAATGTTCACCTTTGCCAAAGGACTGAAGCAGGCCCCCCGGAGGGATCACGCGGCGTACCCAAGTGGGAAGATGCTGCTGGTCAGACTTAGATATATTTACTATACTATATAGCTCAAGTGAGTGAGCAAAATTTTCAGTCACTGGATCACGAGTGAGTTTAAATCACAAAGAATTCGGCAGGTACACAGTCAGCCGTCTCCGACTGCTTCCCATGACATCACTAGCTTCGTTGGCCAGCGTCGTGACGCCATGCACTGGCCCCCTGCTGGAAGTTTAAACAGTTGCTCTTGGAAACAGAGTTGGGCACAAACGCGCGCACACACACACACACTTTAAAAACACGCACAAGAAGCAAGCAACAAGGAAAGAGGAAGGGGGACCAGGACTAAGATTTGGGCTCACAAACATAAGCAATAAGATTGATAAGACATCATTAATTTTTTTACATGCGTGCCCTAGGAGGGAGCAAAGGACCTATGTTGGACCAGAAGGACATAGACCAAGCAAGGGACCAAGGGACCAGGCGACACACTTTGTTTGATGCGTATTGTTTCTCTCTTGATGCTTATTCATTTTTTCTTGGTACCTATGCCTCAAAAGCGACAGCAACAACTAATAATCAAAGATCAATCGTACTCACTACGCTAGAAAAAGACGAGAAGAAGGAAACAAACAAACAAGCAAACCAGGAGAAACAGCAGGAAAAACCAAGCAAGAAAGAAGGCACAAAAAGCAGCATCACAAAGAAGCAGTGAAAGGCAAGGAAAAGAAACACAAGCACAGAAAAGCAGTGAGAAGCAAGGAAAGGCAACGCAGGCACAGAAAAGCAGGAAAAGCAAGAAAAGCAGTGAGAAGCAAGGACAAGATAGAAAAAACAAGACAAGCGCAAGAAAACATATCCAACAAACAATACTTAAAAAACACATCCAAATTTAAGTGTCCCATATATCCCGGATGTTCTCCCTTCTTTCCTGCCCAACTCCGTTTCCATTGTGCTACATCATGAGGACGTGTTCAAGCTGCTTGCGACCTGCAGCTGAGGGCATCCATTCCGCAGTGAGACCAAATTGCCAAGCTCCCCGTTGACTGGCCCCTGCCTTGTTGAACGCATTCGATTTGGGTTTGAGCTTTGGATTTGGATCTTGATCTTGAAGCTTCTTTGGAGGTTTGATTAAGCATGGCCTTTGCAGTCTGTGAGGCCGCCGTTGCCTTTACCACGCGCCGCTGCATTCCGCCCCTAGTTGACCTCAAGCCCACTACTACCTACCTCTGGAGTGTGAGCATCTGCATGTCCATCGTCGTTTCTGAGATGTCTGCCGCTCTAAGATTGGCCCGCCCCCTCAACCCCGTGTTGCGTTGTGTTTGGGAGGGGCACAACCTGCAACAACTATGTTTCTGTCCTGCAGCGCGCGAATAACACTAGGCCAAGGGTCACTTGCAGTTGCAGAACCTTTCCAGGAGCCCCACTCGGTGGCACACGAAGCCAAGCCGCCAGAATATCTGGTAGCAACTGCAGCACAAACTGCTTCACCTAGCTGGGCCAGCCGTGCTAATTACAAAATCCTGCGACACAGGATGCCACTTGATACAGAATGACATTTGGAACAGTATTCAATTACTGTACTGGATACATCAATTCAATCTTGAGCCTGGCAAGCTGACATTGAGAGCAAAAGCTTGTCGATTTTCTCGAGTTCTTTTTCCCAATCTTTGTTCTCTGGCTCCAGCTTTCGGCCGGCGCCAAAGGCCAAGGCTGCTTCTTCCAAATTGCCAAGTTCTCTGAGACAGCAACCCTTTCGGAAATAGCCCTTGGGCCAAGTAGGGGCTAGCTCCACTGCAACATGTGCATCCGCCAAGGCCATCAGCTGGTCACCAAGCTGCAAACGGGCGGCACATCGATTTGAATAGAGTGCTGCCAAGCCAAATGAATGAGATGCGGCGTCCTCCGCATTCTTCGGAGACGCTTGGATAGCCCGGGTGTAGTGCTCCACGGCCTTGGCTGAGGTTTTTCTAGACCCAAATGCCAATTATTCTGGCAAATCCACCCGCGCCTACTTGTTCTCTTCTCGGTCTGCACGCCAAGTGACAACTTGAAACTCCTTTCTTTTGAAGCACTCGCTGCCCTTGGCTTTCCACTCTGTGACCAACTCCTGCCAATTCGACTCTGGCAGCTCCGCTGCTTCATTCACAATATCCACCGGTGAAGGGCTCGTCACGCATTCAGGAACCGCAGGGCAAAGAATTTGAAGGTTACTCAGTAAGCGGTAGAGCTGGTGCACAGCTGTATCACTCGATGTTTCAATTGGTGGCTTGACAGCACAATACCGCTTCAAACGTTCTTCCTTTGTCAAAACCATTGCCTCGGTGTCTTTAACATCAACTTGATTTTGGGGCTCTGCGTCGAGCTCCTCGAAGCACCGCAAAAAAGACACGTAGGAAAACTGCAGGGCGTCCAAGGCGTCAACAACCTCTCGCAATGGCAGGTGCCCATGCTCACGACGTACAAAGTCGGACCTGTCCGGGGACCGAACATCCTCGGTCCTCGGCGTTGCCCTTTGTATCAAGCGCCGCAAATCTGCTACCGACATTACAAGTGCAAACCCTGATGTGTAAGACTGTGAAACCTGCATGTTGAACACCCGATTGTTCGTCATGGGTTCCGTTTCCATAAGCCTTTCGGGTGGGGCTTTGGATCGAATTTTTGTACATCAACAGCCAGGCCAACGGTTTTCTTGAGCTGAGTGACTGAGCGACCATAAAGCACATTCGCATTTAATTCTTGATATTTTTTGAAATCAAAACATGTATAAACAGGGTGTGTTTTTTTTCGGGGGGCTGCCCATTCAAACCATTCGTTTGATCACTCTGGATCTAGGTATTGGACCAGTCCTGTTGATCAACCCATATTCCTCCAGGACCTGCGGAAAGGTGCTTGTTTAGGCTATCAAAAAATGCGGTACTGGCCTAGATAAACTTGATTCCTGTGTTCCTCTGGGGCAAGTTACAAGTTTTTTCACCGGGCTGGCCATCTCCAAAGGCTCCGATGAAGCGATGTAGGCATCGCTGTCCAGCCATGCCACATACTCACAACTCCTGCAACATGGGCGCCTTAACAATGGCATTGCCACCAACAAACCCTCATGCAGCATCAGCACTTGTACATGTGTATGTATATAAATATATATATATATATAAATATATAGATGAATATGATATACCTGAGAAGGGAGGGGACGAAAACCAGCCCACGTCGACACTGAGAACTCTACAAGCAGTATAATTGTTGTCGAAGTGTGCAGTCGAGGCTGCATTTTTGAAATTGTTGCACTCGCTGGTTTGACCGTGCTTGCCATGTGAGGTCATTGTGGGTGAGAGTTTGCTCTTGTCGCTGGTGCCCTTTTTCTTCCCCATATCCTTGATAAAACGATCGAAAAGGGCACCCCGCAAACATGGCCTTTTGGCTGAGTCCGTCACTTACGGCGCGTTTCCGCCCAACGTCTCTTGGACCACTTACATTATTGTGTTCTAACGCATTCACTGCTGCCAGTATGACACCTGCCTGCTTATTTCTACAGCGGAGCAGCACAGAAAACGGTAATAACCCATGCGCCCATGTTTGGCGGGGAATCACCATACACACAATTAGGCCGGCTGCTAATGATGCAATACATATTAAACCATATTACATGGCCTCACTTGCGTCACCAAGGCATAAACATCCATTTTGACTGCACTTTGGCAATCTCCCCCACCAAGGTCTCTGGGTTCACCCTACCCACCAGCCACCACCTTGCAAAGCCCCCACTGATAATGTTGACCTATGATTGATAAAGGGACCCGAAATACAGTTAGATTCCCTGCTGATTAACAACAACCCTAAATAAAGCTAGCAGCTAGTATATATATATAATATAAATATATTATATATCAAACAAAAAAAATATATATATATATACATATATATAGACAGATATGTTTTTAATAAAATTTGTTTTGACAAAATTATAGAAAAAGCCAGAAATTATGCTGGCAAGAGGCCCCAAACAGTGTGTGTGAGGTCTAGAGGTGTAGCAGCTGAAAGTCTGGTGTAGACGCATTGGGGTCCAGAGAGGTGATGGTGCGTGTGAGTGAGATTGATTGTGAGAGAGTGAGCGTGAGCGAGAGTGAGTGTGAGTGAAAGTAAAATTGAGAGTGTGAGTAAGAGTGTGGGTGAGAGTGAGTGAAAATGAGAATGAAAGTGAGAGATTGAGAGCGTGAGTGAGAGTGAGTGAAAGTGAGAATGAAAGTGAGAATGAAAGTGAGAGTGTGAAAGAGAGTGTGAGGGTGAGTGTTTGTGAGACTGAGAGTGAGAGTGAGAGTGGGTGGTGTGAGTGAGAGTGAGAGTGAAAGTGTGAATGAGTGAGAGTGAGTGAGAGAGTCGAGAGTGAGAGAGCGAGAGTGAGTGAGAGTGGGCGTTGTGAGTGTGAGTGAGTGGGAGTGAGCATCTGAGAGCGAAATCTGCGCTTCGAGGTTCACAAAGCGATGCGCCTGCCACAAGATCTGCACTTCGAAGCTAACAAAGCGCTGCGCGTGCCACGAAATCTACAAACGGTGTTTCACAAAGAGCTGCGCCTGCGACCAAACCTGCACTTTGAGGTTCATAAAATTCTGCGCTTCCCCCGAAATCTGCACTTCCAGGTTCACAAAATGCTGCGCGTGTCACGAAATGTGCACTTCGAGGTTGACAAAGCGCTACGCCTCCCACGAAATGTGCACTTCGAGGTTCACAGAGTGCTACGCCTGCCACGAACTCTGCACTTCGAGGTTCGCAAAGTGCTATGCCTGCCGCAAAATCTGCAGTTCGAAGTTCACAGAGCGCTGTGCCTGCCATGAAATCTACACTTCGAGGTTCACAAGGCGCTGTGCCTGCCACGAAATCTGCACACAAAGTGCTGCGCCTGCCGCGATATCTGTACTGGTACTTCGAGGTTGGCAAAGTGCTGTGCCTGCCACGAATCTGCAAGCGGGCCGCCTGTCCAAAAGCTACGATTCACTGCACTTGCATTTCGAAGTAAAACCGCTCCGCCTGTCACGAAAAGTCGAATTTGGACCGCCCAAACCCGAGGCCCCCTTGCGCCTGCCACGAAAAGTGACCACCGTGTGCGAAAATGCGCACGACGCCACAACGAGAGCGCAGTCGCGACAAGCGCCCGCCGCCGCCACCCAGATTTCGCGAGCCTGCGCCGTCGAAATGCATATCGACGACTTCGAGAGGCATGAGTCATGAGTGTACTGTAAATAGCAATGAATTAGCCGTGCGCGGCCGCGTCGTAACCTCGATCTAAGCCCGGCGCTTAACAATTACTGTAAGAACCCCTAGTGTGTCCACACTGTTTGGAGAAAACACAAATACAAAATAACTAACAAAGCCAGACAGTTTTGTTCACTGAAGAACAAGCTTGTTGAGTTAGTATTTAGTTCTGTTCATTCCTTTGCCAACAGATTGCTTGTGTGGACTCTTCTTCATCTCACAACTTTTTAGTATCAAACAACAAAACCATCTGACAACAATTCTTCATAAATCCTTTATTCAAAACCTTTGAAAACTGATCAAAACTACTCTGGAAAGGGTTCTCCTCGCGAAGCCGCCAAACCCTAAAGCATACCCTAAATAAAGCTAAACAGTTTTGCTCACTGAAAAACTTGTTGGGTTAGTATTTAGTTCCTTTCATTGCTTTGTCAACAGATTGCTTCTTTGGATTCCTTTATCTCACAACTTTTTATCATCAAGCCATAAAACCTTCTGACAACAATTCTTCATAAATTCCTTTCAAAAACCATTGAAAGCTGATCAAAACTACTCTGGAAAGGGTTCTCCCCGCGAAGCCACCAAACCTTAAATACAGCATACCCTAAATAAAGCCAAACAGTTTTGCTCACTGAAAAACTTGTTGGGTTCGTATTTTGTTCCTTTCATTGCTTTGTCAACAAGTTGCTTCTTTGGATCCCTTCTCTAATTATTTCCTCTTCATTTCACAACTTTTTATCATAAAGCCATAAAACCTTCTGACAACAATTCTTCATAAATTCCCTTCAAAAACCATTGAAAACTGATCAAAACTACTCTGGACAGGGTTTCCCCAGGAGCCACCAAACGCTAAATAAAGTGCGCCCTAAATATAGCTAAACAGTTTTGCCCAGTGAAAAAACTTGTTGAGTTAGTATTTAGTTCCTCTCATTGCTTTGCCAACATATGGTTTCTATTCAATTCTAATTTAATTCCACTTCCGTTGAATTTAACGGAACTCAATTCCAATTCAAGTCACACTCATTTCCAACTCAATCGAACTTAAAAAAAATTCAACTCAAAATCAAGTCAAATCCAATTCTAATTTGAATACTAACTAACCCCCTTCTATTTTAACATTCATGCATTTATGACCATGTCATTTCCAATTTAATCTGTTTCTTCCCTTTCATTAAACTGTCTCTTCTCTTTGATTCTAAAAATTTGTTTTAGAAAGGGGTCGTTTCATTTCAAAATTCTTTCTTGGAACCTGGGATGAACTTTATTTAGGGTAAACCAAGATTTCCAAATTTACAACAACCGTTTCTTAATCAGACGTCAAAATTACTCGCTTTGCTCGCCCATCAAAGACTTCATGCCTAGATCCAGACAGGTAGTTGTAGAGGTCTCTAGGTCTAGAAATCTAGAATCTAGAAATCAAGAATGCGAGTGGGAGAGGGAGAGAGAGAGAGTGAGAGAGAGAGAGAGAGTGAGAATGAGATGAGAGAGTGAAAGTGAAAGTGAGAATGAATGTGAGAGTGAGAGTGAGAGTTTACTGTGAGAGTGAGAGCGAGAGTGCGAGTGAGTGAGTGAGTGAGTGAGTGAGTGAGTGAGAGCTCTTGTTGCGAGCGCTTGTGAGCGCGCGTTGTTTTCTCTCTTCTGCCTCTTGTTGTGCTTAGTTTTTGCACTCCAATGACACAGCGGCGCTGCCCCAGGAATTCTAAGAGTTCAGTGGGTCTTGATTGGCCTGCCAGCTTCTGCCAGCCCAGCGTGACCCTGAGTGATCCTCCGGCTCCTTACCATTTGGTTGTCCAAAACACTTATAGAATTGAAGGCCCCCTGCAGTCTTTCTCTCATGAGCTGGCAGCTTCCCAAGCCATTCCACCCGCTAGACTTCCCAACCTTAGTGAAACTTGGTGGCTCCTTGAGCGGAGGGAATGAGGTCTAAGCCTAGCCAGTACATGGGCCACTCCAGGCCTCTAAGATTACCTAGTTCCAGCATTCTATACAGTAACGGTTCAGTTGGTCTTGATTTGCCTGCCAGCTTCTGCCAGCCATAATTCCCTGATCTCGTTCTATAGGGTCGACGAAAGCAAGCTCCAAACGCACAAGTCATCTACGCGTGATTCCCTACAGAATCAAAGCACCCAAGCAGCTAAAGACACAACCCCTAGCATGATTCTCTTTAGAATCAGAACACTCAACCTGAACATAAATATATATATATACATACATATATACATATATGATGCCTTTCTAAAGAATTGCACACCTAACACTCCATTTCTCCAAAAACACTAGATCTACCATCTCCACAGAATCAAAACCACCAACATCTCTATCAAATTGAAGAGCCCAACCTCCAGTAGCAATCCAGGCACCAAGGAGCTGCGTATGATCCGGCAAGAGACCCCAAACAGCGTGTCTGGGGGTCGAGAGGTGACGGTTTGCAAGCTGGGAAAGGTCCACAAAGTACTGCGAATGCCATGAAATCTGCACTTCAAGGTCCACAAAATATTGCGCCTGCTACGAAATCTGCACTTCAAGGTCGGTACTGCGCCGCCACGAAATCTGCACTTCAAGGTCTACAAAGTACAGCGCGCGAAGTACTGCGCCAGCCACGAAATCTGCGCTTCAAGACACAGCACTGCGCCTGCCACGAAATCGGCACTTCAAGATCCACAAAGCACCGCGCCTGCCACGCAATCTGCACTTCAAGGTCCACAAAGCAAATTACCACACCTGCCACAAAGTTTGCATGTCGAGGTGCACAAAGTACTGCGTGTGCTACGATTTCTGAAAACGAGCCACATGTTCAAAAGTCACGATGCACTGCACCTGCCACGAAATCAGAGCATGCCGAAGACCACCACCATGTCCAAAGTACTGCGCCTTCCACAAAATCTGTATATACATCGGCAACAAGCTGCTCCGATCTCCTGCGCCTGTCACGAAAAGTTGACTTTAGGAAATGAAAAATGGAACTTTTCTGCAAGCCTGCGAGAGAAGGCTTGTTATATCTGTATATGTGTCTATGCGCGCACGCGCGCGCAAGCAAAACATAGCAAAACACTACCTTCACATTAGTGTGGGTGGCTCCTATGCAGCAGCCGCGCAGATCCAACCCACCAACCGGCCTAACCTTGCTCCCCATTCTGTGGTGAGCACCTTGCTAACAATGGTTCTTTTTTCAATAAAAGGCAGAAAGCACAGCAACCTTAAAGGAAACAGCTGGCTGGTTTCCAGTGCCATGATGCGAAACCGACCGTTCCAGGTCAACAAATAAACGAAGAACATTCAATCCCAACAAGACTGGCCAAGAATTCTGGATTGTTTCCTCCGGGTCATTCGAAGGCTCAAACACTAGCCTCAGCCCGGTAACTCACGGAGCGCGTTTGGGGAGAACAGGCTATCATACCAAAAGACACCAGGTGGCCGTGGCCGGTGACTGGTGGCCGGTGGCCAGCCGGTTGCCGGAATTAAAACGTGCATATTATGGGGCTGCTGGGCAGGTCTCCTTCAGTCAGAAATCCTTCCTTGCGTACGCGGGCCTGCAAAACAACGGTGGCATACAGTGGCGCTTCACCAACCCACCCCTGCCTTCATTGCCGCATTGATCAATTAAAGGTCTCCTCTTTCCTCATTTGAGGCAAGGGCCACGGTGGCCGGACCGCAATGTTGCCAAGCCGCCCTTGTGGTGGGAGGCGCTGACCACCCCACACCCAAAATCAACTTTGCCAACCATGGCGCCCAAGCTCAAGGCGGCTCTAGCCTTGAGGCGCCGCCCCGTCTCCATGATGGTCAGCGTGCTTCGCGCGTAGGCCGTCGTCAGCCCGAAGGAGTTGCCACTGCCTCCTCCACCTCTAGCGACTCTAGTGGCGCTTACCCGGGTAACGCGCTTGCCTAAACAGCGCCAATCCTGGAATTTGCGAGGTCGGAGTAGAACGTAGTGCACTAGAGGTGCCTATATACCAACTTGTGTTTGGGAGCTGAAGTGCTCAACGCCGTCGCGCACCTTGTCGCCTTGTGGCATCTAGTAATGTTGTCCATGGGGTATGGTGAGCTCATCACGACTATGGCGCGACACTATACATGTTCTTATAGTCTTAGACTGGTTGTGGGACTTGTCCTGTCTTCCAGCTCTTGCTGCACCAACCTCACGATAGCCCATTGCACTCTCCTGAGGCTGGGTTGGTACTTTGCCATGATGCCAAAACTGAAAACACAAGCGGAGATAGGTCCATCATGGTCTATTGTGTGTTTCAAATGTCCATCCAGCGCGGAGCCTGGGAGGATACAAACCATCCGAAAGCATTTCGCGAAGGCCCCAGTTATTGACCTGGGGCCTGCCATGGAGCTAGCAGCTAGGCCGGTCCAAATATGGATTACACCGGCACAGGCTCCAAGATTGCGCAGTTTCGGGCGGAGTGCATTTCAAGAGGTCTCAAACTACTCACGGGCCATCTAAAAGGTCAGCTACAACTTAAACTGAAACCTCCAGTGGCTACCTACTAGTTGCTAGCTGAGACCCCTACCCTTCCTGCAAAGGGAACATAACAGTTATCACACACGCTATCTCACCTGATTTGGAAGGCAAAACATGTCGGCTGTGACCGACGAAAGCGATAGCCGTGGAGCAAGGCGTAAAGCCTCGGCGAACGCTAAGAAATATGCAGCTTGCTTTCACGCGCAAAAATGATTCCCACTTCCACGTTATAAGAATTATGCATCTTGCCTTCATGCACCAAATAGACCCCCACTTCCACGTTTCCACATGCTGAAAATGCAATCATCATGTAGGTTCAAATTGACCTTGAATGGTCTTCAAATGTGAACACGCCCACCTGTTCAAGTGGTAAGTGATGCTCCAAAAGTTGGTCAGGTGCTCGGGTTCCTCACTCATGGCCGTCAAATCCTGCTCCCCCAAACCCTTCATTAGCTAGCGCCGTCCTTTGCAACCAAGCGTGAAAGGTTGGTCTCCAAAGGCCTGATCACAGAATCACACAGAATCCAACTAATACTTAACTAGTTGCAAAGTGACCGTTCTTGGACATTGGGGCGGCCCACCCCGGTCAGACCAAGTATGCCAGAGACATCTTACGATATCTTATTTTATGTTTGCTTGGCGTTTGGCAAACGAATGTAAAGCACATAGAGCGTGATAGAGCGTATATGTACAATGGAAGGCTTCCAAACTTGGGTATTGTCTGTCTGAGCGACCTCAGCTCCTAGGTAAAAAGTGGGGAGGGGGGCAACAAGGGGCCCAACCGAGGGCCGAAAGCTGAGTTGGACAACTATAGAGAACTGCAAGACTTTTTGGCAATTTGCATGAACTTGCTGCGTTAGTATACAGTAAATGCATCGTGTCAAACCGTGCATGTATTGAAACTGGTCTTCCGCGGCGGCGCTGTTTTCCAAGGCGCGTGCTTGAGCCAACTGTCGTTGGTGTGGTAGACCATGCTTGGGTGACAGTGAGTCTTCACGAAAGAATGCTCCAGGAAACATGGTTTTTACACCAATTATTTTCTTTCTCACTGACATCCAGGGTGTTTGTCAGTTTCTCAAAGCTGACCTTCTCAAATTCTTGAGCTGGGTGTCAGCTGCCAAAGCGACCTTATTGGTCCCGCTTTGCGGCGGACTGTCGGCAAGCCTTGGTTTGCCAGCTTCCTCCTTCAGATCACGCCAAACAGCTTCACGCAAAGCAATGCGGCTTGCCCAGCGTTGGTCCGTGACCTTCCTTCCCTGGTCCCCCTTCAAGGAAAGTTGTGTTTCGTGGATGTCTAGGGGAGAAGTCCGTCTCCTGTCTCCATGAACCTATGAAGTTTGGGGGAGCTAGGGCAAATTTTTTGCCTGATTGGCTCCTCTGTCCATTGACAGCGATTGGCCTTCAACCAAATCTTGGATCTGCCTTCGCTTGTACCGTTTCACTTCAAAGCAAAGGTCAGGGGACATGTCCTTGCCAGCTCGATGAAAATGGGTTTCACGGTTTCACCCGATCCAGTACAGTGGGGCTCTTGACGCTAATTTGCATGGCATCTTGTTTAATGGTTCTAGAACTCCTTTCCCTGTCTTTTTCTGAGCCGGAGGTGTCCAACATGCTTCGAACTTTGAACCTCATTGGCAGGCCCAGGCAAGTGGTATGTGGCTGATTCCGTGGGAACCTTCTTCGTGAAAGCAGGACTTCGTGAAGCCGCTTCCGGAAAGACTGGGCGCATCTGAAGTTAAGCACCGTAGATGCTCTTATCACCGCTTATGGAGGATCCTTCTTCCACTGTGTCATCAGGTATCTCCACCTGCTGGAAGTGAAAATGCTAAAGTTTGGTTGATCCGAGCACTCTGGAGAAAGGCGGCGGAAGGCCAATATTGATGCTGCGCGCGCGAAGATGAGGTGTTCGGCTTGTTCTCTTGCGTCGGCCTTGTCAGCGTCAACCAGTAGTTGGCACAATCTTCGGATGAGGATACTTGCTTGTGAAGCCCGGTGAGAGGGTGTCAAGAGTCAAGAGCTGAGAATTCTTTCCAAGTGTTGCGCTCACTCCTTCATTGGGCTCCTCAGAAGACCGTGACGCGTCCTCTCATTGCAGGTCTCCACGGGCACCAACTTGTCACTTCTTACAGCGCCCATCAGCTGGTACAGCCGTGGGATGGCGGAGTGGTGATCTCGACCCCTCCGGAAGTGAAAGTGCAATCATCATCTCCGGATGGGAGGGTCTTCCATAGTCCTGCCGTCTCGTTTTCCCCAAAGATCCCCCACAAGGGGGATGGTTTCACACATGTCTGCTAATGTATGCAGATCGGGGGGACAGGTGTTGAACAGCAATTTTCGAACGGGGCCTTGAAGTGGACTGATTTCCGGAGTCTCATCGACAGGGTCCTCAACTCCTTCATGGACTTCTTCCGACGTCAAAGAGCATACCTCACGAGGCAAGCCTGGTGAATATTCTTGATGGTGGTGCTTCCATGATTACCATCTTCATCGCTTCAATGCCAGCCCATAGTTTGTTCTCTACGACGCTCTTTATGAGGCCCCCTGACGTTCAGTGCGTCCAATTTGGTGGGGCGCTTCCAGGCGTCCAAAGCGAAGGCTAACCCCATGGGGTGTCAGCAAGCTGGCCACGACTGTGAGCCCGGCGGCCGACCAAACGTCCAAAGAGGATCAAAGAGGTAGTCTCCCACAGAGCTGTCCTCCTCGTTGAATGTAGTGGCCCCTTTTTGATGCATCCTTCTCATCATAGATGGCGCCCAGCTGGCCAAGGTGTGCTTCTTCTTCCTCAATTTCTGCTGAGAACTCTCCAGCGAAGGCGGCAAAGACTTCCCTCAGTGTCAAAACTTCCACCGGACCATTAACGAAGTGTCTTAAGCAGGCGGGCGCGGGAGTGCCGCAGTGGGCCCCGCTGCCAGTATTGAAACTGGTCTTCTGCGGCGGCCCGCGCGGTTTTCCCAGCGTGCGCTTGAGCCAGCTGTTGTTGGCGTGGTAGAGAATGCGCCTTCATGAAAGAACGTTCAAGTAAACATGGTTTTCGCACGACATTGGTCCACGCGTGCTTGAACCTCCTTTTCAGTCTTCCCTGCGGGGTCATATTGGTCTCTCGCATTTCGCGATGACTTGAAGCGCCCAGAGTCAGCATGTCTGCTTGTCACAAGTTGCCTGTCACTCATTGATCAAATGTAGCAAAGCAAGCTGTTCCATAGGTTGCGCACTGGGATGGAAGCTCAGAAGCAGCTGGCTTGATAGAACCTTCTTGTTGGACAACGGCCACGTGACATTGCAGCATGACTCGGGGTTTTAGAATTCTTGGCTTCTTGGTGCGGAAGAGCTCGACACACACGCAACTGTGTCACAGCTTATGTGCTCAAAGGCCATGCTTTGGCACTGATTCTTCCTCTTGCACCGTGATCGGTTGAAAAACTTCTGTCGAGCCTTTTATCGGACAACCACGGAAAGCCCATCAGGCGCGAGGCTCCAAGCTGTTGGCTGACGCTTCCGGGCTTTAAAGGCGTCAAACATCATGCGCAATGTACTACAGGAGTTCCATGAAGCAAACCATCGCAATAACTGTGGCTTAGGATACCTCAAAGGCATATTGTGTGAGCCACCTACGAATGGACAGGGTTTGTCTTAAAATGTGTTGAAGCACCTGCGAGGGCACAAGCTAGCCAACAGTCAACAGCACAGGCAGAAAATTTCATGCCCTGATCTTGGGCTGACGTCCGAAAGCCTCGTGGCGTCGGACAGCCAAGGTGCATTAAAGAATATTCGAATTCAGGCAAAGCTCAAGAGACGAGCTCGGAAGAAAGCACTTCAACAAAGTCTCCTGCCCGCTTTCTGAGCATTTCGCATGTGCGGTCAGGGGTTGGAGCGCTGAGCTTTTGCCATACTTCACAGGCAATCACATGCAACTGGTCAGTTGAAAGTGCTGCTAAATCTGAACTCTATTCGCCAACTGCAAGGATGATTCAGCCGTTGCCTGTGCTACACCTGTCCGAGCATTGCTCTCGTCATAGCATGAAACAGCGTTGCAGTGGGGTTTGCCAAGTTGTGCGGTGTTCATTCATTCATTCTTTGTATGTCAAAACAACTTGATGGGGAAACAACCCAGGAACTGGCGCTTCTGCTTCTGTTCCTTTATCATGTAAGGAAAATCATTCCAGCAGGACACAAACCGCGGTATATTTGGAACCCCAGCATTCTCTGGACCGCCAAAGGCGGTCAAAAATGCATCTCAGCAATCACTGATGACGGAAAAAAACATCGTGGCAAACAAGGCTTCCGCTTGCTGCCTCCCATGACGACGAAGGTCACAGCAGGCCCAAGGACGCGCCACGCCAACTGCTTCTCATCAAGCTGGCAACACAGCCACCCTGTGCATTTCCACAAGGCCGCAGCTGTGCAAGTGCAGATGTTAGGAGAGGGAGTTGACGGGAAGTGATTGTGCGTTTCTAAGTGGGCCCAGCCAGTGCGGTGTGGTCAAAGGCCTCATCACAACAGGTTTAAGCTCTTTGATGACTGCGTTTGACCAGCTCTGATGATGCAAATTCGGACATGTGGCCAAGCCTCCCATAATTAGTCTACTATAGTCCACTGCTGGTGTCCGGCGTCCGGGAGATTGCCAAGGTTGACCACCCGGTGCTTCATTTGAGACTCTGTCAAATCAAGCATGTCAGGTACAATGGGAGCCTTGGGAAAACAACCGCCTTCAACCATACGTCAAACATTTTCTGGGTGTCCAAATGTGTCCAGTCCACGCTGTCCTGTCCGCACCTCACCGTCCAGGGTCTGAAAATGGACCGTCAATGCAAAAACAACACCATTTACAGTAGAACGCTTGGAAGCTTCTCAGCCAATCCCATTGGCAACTGGCAAGGCCAGTGGTGAAAAATTGAGCTCGGCAAGGTGTGGGCACAACATGGCTTGAATCTTGAATCAACAACCCCCTCATGCAGAGACGGATGCAAATTGCAAAGTGGCTAGAGGCTGATCATGTTTTCTGTATTATTTTCAAAGTGTATATATACCTGGGAAGGGAGAGGGCGAAAGCCAGCTTCCGTAAGAAGACTTCAATGTGGTTATGGGGTGAATTTGACAGCGCACTTCAACTGCTGTCAGGCATGGGGAAATAGAAGGCAGAGAGGCGCATAGTCTCACATTGAAGGTCGATATGATAGGCTCTTTGTCCACAAGGCCTTGGTCAAGCCCAGTTATAGGATAGAAGTGGAGCCCATGCGCGAAGAGAAAGGTTGAATTGAGCAGGACATGTATAGTCCGGCGGGGCAAAGGTTGAGTTGAGCAGGACATTCGCAGGTCGAGGGAGAGGGTGCCTATTTTTTTGGGTGCGTTTTCAAGGTGAATACGGGCCATAGGATAGCTGCGACTTCGGTTGAGAGACGCAGAGTTTTGCATTGAGGCTCGATATGATAGAGCCTATAAAGACAATTCCTGGATCAAGTCCCATCCGCCACTACCTGTCATAGGATAGACTTCGATTCATA